GCGAGGTTTAATATACACGTATAAGAGGCCTTTGCACTGTGCACAGCAGCAGCAATACTCCGCTATAACCGAATCGCATGTTTGTCTGATTGGGCTATAGCAGTATTTTATTTACAAAGATAAAGAAGAAGAAAAAAAGGGGGTTTTAGAGTAGTGTATTTATAACAGACTTCTCGTTATTTCAGGATCCTCATTATAAGTGGACTCCACTGTATAATATTATCATCTCAGCAGACCATAAAATACTCCGAAACATTCTCGGCTTCCCGGGAGGCATACAGGCACTGACCTGTCCGCCATTCTGTTTGTCCCATCCTGCCACAATGATGCCGGCCGTCAGCTGGTCTCTGTAGTCGTAGCACAACTGTTTGAACATGTGAGCCACTGTCTTCACTAGGGGCTCCTCTCCCATCTCCATTCTGAAACCATGAACAGTGAGATGAAACACACAGAAACAATGCTAAAGAATCATTACCTGGACAATATACATTTATTCATGACAAAACAAAGGTTCACAAATATAGGAGAACAATCTGAAAACATATATTCAACACACTTTTGCACTTTTCATAAAAAGAAACAGGTTAGAAACACTGCACATTATGATATCACTCACTTGAGGTAAAGCTATGTGAAACAGTAACACGAGTAGAAGTATCAAACACCTACGCATTGAAATCTACGAAGCCTATAAGTCGAAATACATCACGTCTGTTTAAGACAAAAAGGTCTCGTTCTCCCAACTTCAAACAGAATATTTTCAGATATACATTAAGTCACTAACTTTTGAACCACAGAAAACCACGAGAAATAATAGAAAAATTAATTGCACAATGTATACCAATAATGACCAGGAGAAGTAGTATGGTATCATTAAAAGCAAGTAGGTGGAGAGCATGAAAGCCAAAAGACCCAAGTTCAAACCTGTCCCACAGGAGATTCAAACCAGAGTCATCAGCATCAAAGTAAAACCTGATAACGTTTGTACGAGATAAAAAGGACAATAAGAGGAAGAAACAATGAGCAGATATTGAACTTAAAGAAGCACTTTTTAAGTATGTAAATTTTCAGAAGCTTGAAGACAAAATCTAAGGGGTCTCCCACAAGAGATTGTCACCTGTGAAAGTCCACATGGTACTTGACAATGTCGGCAATGGCTTGAGTGTCAGCAGCAGAGCCTGAGCGACAGCAGTAGATGTAGTCTGTCACCTTGGTCAGTTTGTCAGTCACACGGTTGGCAATGTATGCTCTGGAAAAAAGAAAAAAAATCAGAATGCAAAACAAAAGTCACTTTTTTTGGACTCCACTGACCCCCACCCCGGAAAAAAAACTACAAAAAAAAAATGTACACTACTACTACAAATTAACATAAATAACTGCGTAAAAGAACTGAAGAAGAAGAGAACATTAACTGAAAGGTGAAACATTTCTACAAGACAATAATATATATCAATGTAAAGTTCAGTAAAGTCGATGGTAAAAAACCCAAAAACCCGACACGGTCTCTTAATCATGAGCACCAGCAAGATTAAGTATGCAAGTTACGTAAATCTATGTAAAATGATATATTTAGAAGTGAACACGTTGAGAAATTAATGCATGTAGACATTGCAAAAAATGCTGCTGCCACAAGAGAACACTTCGTCTTAAATTCATGTAACCCTCTTAAAAAATACTTTGTAAAAGCAAAGTTGCGCGTTCCCTTTGTAGCACACACATCAGTTGTGGAATTTACCCACTACAAGTCAACACTGAGAGCAAATTATGACGAGGCTCTCACAGGACAAAAACAATAATCTCCTATGTCAACACTACTCATTAGACATACCCTGTGGTTGTTCTTGAGTCAGCACCAAGGATTACTCCTTTATCAAACTCTGTTGCCATAATAGTGGTCTGAAAAAAACAACAACAACACCCAGATCATTCAAACACTGTTAAAATTGTTGTAATTTAACTTTCATTACAGCCTGTTATTTAATCATAATACATAGAACAGTCAGAAATGGAACCATATTTCAAATATTCTTCACTGTTCTACACCTTCTCCATCAAAAAGTAGTTAAAAGACTTGTTATAAAGACACTATTCGAAAACCCTGTTTGTTCTTCTTCTTTACCTTTGTAAATAAAATACTGCTATAACGCTATCAGACAAACATGCGAGTCAGTTATAGCGGAATATTGCTGCTGCTATGCACAGTGCATAGGCCAATTATACATAATGTAAAACCTCGCAGGTTGTTGGTGATCTAGTGAAACAAAGAATGGGAGAGCCCACGTGTGTCAACAATGAAAGCCGGAGCGACTGAGTAGGGAGGGTGTGGCATGCGCAGACAAGCAGAACGCATCGGGTGATAGGCCAGCATAGTTTACATTATCAAGGCCTACCATGCCTCTCACTTCTCCGATGCGGGGATGGAGAGGTGACAGCAATGTGATGGATGGAGCGAATGTGTGACGTGCGCAAGCAGACGGAATGTACCACAGAGTGTGGTGGGGTGGGGGAAAACACAGCGGGCGAAATTTCTGATCGCCAACACAGAGCTGCCAGTCAACATCGCTAGCGCTAGAGAAAGAAAACTGATTCGATTTTTGATCAAGTAAGACCTAGAGGTCATGGTGAAAAAAAATCATCACCAGGGGAGATAGTAAAAGGAAATAAACAGAACATCAAACTCATAGAGTTAGGCCTACTTTACTGTTTCCCTTGAAATTATTACTGGATCCCTTATAGCGAGAATCCTGCTATAACGGACATTTTGCACCGGTCCCTTCCCTCTCATTATAACAGGATTCCACTGTATATATATATGAAACAATCATAGCCAGTACCTTCTTGAATGCAGTTCAATTGGTTCCTAGCACAAGTTTTCCCAATGACAGCCAAGCTATCATTTTACTTTAATAAAAATTACAACTTATTTTCCTTTTCCAAATTACAGCTTGGACAGGATCTGAGTTTTTTTTAACTTCTCTAAATTTTCACATTGGCCATCCCCCACTTCATAACCCGCCTTATTTCTGTCAGTGATTGTCAAAGAGTTGTAATAAATTGATGAGACCCTTTTCAATGAACCATTTTTTTCTATTTTTCACGATAAGACAAGTGAAAAGTTCAGTTGGCCAAACACCTCTAATCAGCAAGATGTCCCATGACAAATTAATTTATAAAAGCAACAATTTAGAATTTAAAAAGGCAAAATGTCAACTTCTAAGCAGTTTGGCGAGCTAATTATAGAGTGTTTCATGCATTTGGTAGGCCAGTCAGCCATATCTCCTTGAACACCCCCCCCCACACCTTAAATCAGGTTATTGACTTTTACAGTATCTCTGTCTAAGATCTTGGTGCTTGAAGACAAGGATTATAATGCAATATCTTAGGTGAATGGGATCTTAGGCGATCCACCAGGGGGAGAATCCACCGTGAATGACTGGTAAAATGACCAACATTTATTTGAAGTTAACCAATGTGACCCCTGGGTAGGTTTATGACCGAAGGTGTGAGCAAAGCGTGTTTAGCCTTGATGACCAGTCACAATGGTATGATGAGGAATAGTGCAATTTTCACTTACAATCCAACTGTCAGTTTCAAGATCTATGTTGACCACATTGCTTCCCCCTTAACCTGTCCAAAATTTATATAGTTTTCCATCTCTGAATCGAGCTCCTGGCCATGTCATACATTTTATAACAGTAAAACATATATATCATTGACATTGTATTGTAACTGCAACAATTAAAATCCAGTCTGTATACAGAATTCGTGTGTGGCAATGAAAGACAATGGCTGCAATGGTCAGAGATACAAAAGAAATAACAAGTTCAGTTTTATGTAATCTGGTCTGGTATTGCCTTGTAAGCACTACCCACTCTACATATATGATGTACGTTCAGGCGTAGGGTTCAAAAGCATGTGCACAGTACTTGGGGAAAACACATGTCGATGAGTTCACACCATGGAGTAATCCTATCTTGAGAAAACACTGTATCCTTCCATTAACATTTACTACGCAGATGTTATCACATTCATGAGAGTTGATGATGTGATGCAATGGCCAGTACATGAGCCCCGATCGAAATTTTTGCTACTTGGTTGATCAGCTGAGCCTCGTTTGGGTTGTTGTGATGTCATAAATTATGATGTGAAATGCAGGATCTTAGCTGAAAGAAATTCTTCGGAGAAGGATCTTCGGGTAGACATTTGGGTAGACTTCCTAATTTTTAAAGCTGTAGTCTGAGTCTGAGTAAGGTTGTTCAAATCAAACCATAGTTCACAAAACTGAATGATAATATTTATAATGACGGTTAATTTCACTCAAAAACTCTTCAGACCTGGATCATAATCACACCTCTACAATCTAGATCTCTAGTCTAGATTTAGATCTAAATCTTACATCTCTGATTTCCATGCTGAGGTCCATTGAAAAAAGCTTAGTTCAATTGATAAATTTCATTGGAATTTCTCAGTCCTTCTATATTACGAAAAGTAGCCTTTTATAATAGATCTAGTTATTTAGTTAAAAGAAACGATCTGGATCATAACGTTCGATCATTTGCAGTGCGTCGTTGAACTTTGGACGCTTTTTTGGTTGTTCCCACCCCCCAATTATTATTTGCTGGTTTTGGCCCCATGAGTATGGCATGAGTAGGGAGATTTCAGGGGTGAATTTTACCATAATTTGATGTTTTGCAGTGGTTAGGTTTGATATCTCTCGCTCTCCGTGCATTAAACATATAGACTTGATCTAGGCCCAAATAAGGGGGGTGGGAACTACCGAAAAAGTGCCAAACTTTGTTTGAACTTGCTTTCATACGTTGGCCTACTCCTAGCTAATTACACTTCTATTCTCAATTTACGTAGTAGTGTACAGCATCAGAATCATCTGTGCGAAAGAAGGATACTGCACAATGGACATCCGAACAGTTCTGCAATTTTATTTGCAAAGAAAAAAATCCAAGTTGGCAGGCTGCCGTCGCGCGGTCGTGTTGCCATCATGATCATGAGTGACAAAAGTGGGAATCCCAGCCCTAAGCCTCCATGACGTAAAAAAAGACGGCTGGATTGTACTTTACCGGACCACCTGTCTTAGCCCGTGATTACTATGCCCGCCTGGCCTAACTACTCACTCGTAGTTCTCTACGTGCAGACAAGAGGTAGTTCCGCGGGCGACTTCGCGCAGAGCGCAAGCCAGCGGTGTCGTGAGGTGAGGTGAGCAAGAGGTGGTGGTTGAGGGTGGGTAGGGGATCAAACTTTGGTGGATCCACCGATTGTAATACCAACAGGAGGGTGGGGGGGTAAAGTACAATCTTACCAACAAGACGGGAGGACTTCCGTAACGAGCGACCACTATGAGACAGAGCAGAATTGAGGGCTTGGGGTAGGGGTAAGGGTAGGGCCCGGGTAGGGGTAGGGGTAGGGGTAGGGTTAGGGTTAGGTCTAGGCCTCTACTTTATTGTGTTTGATGGGGTGGTCGCTTGTTACTAGATCTATCTATAAATATCGGCTAATTCAACTAATTGCGTTTAGTTTGTCGTTCTCTCTAGCTATCCGCTAGTGTAATTTAGCGGCTTATCGATAACTGGTCATTGGTGACAAAAACTGCGTCAACATTTCAAGTGAAGATTGAGATCTTAATTTTCAGGAATCAAATTAGGCAAGCAAAGGGAAAGGTAGATCTACATACCCCAGTGGAGACCTCTGAATTCATGAATTCCATCCCCGGAGCCATCATCATCAGTTTGTTTGATTAAATGAAAGGACTATTCTGTAAGAAAGATAAGAGCGGCCGAGTGAGAAACAAAACACTAAAACAGCACAGTAACTGTGTGACCCTTATGAAAGCTTCCGGGTCAAATAGTGATCAACACCATTTGTTAATGTCGCCTTTATATTGAGAAAAATATTATAATTATATTCAAACAAAAAAAATCATTACCCTAGAATTACAAAGCTCTTTCCGATCAGTACCTAGTTTTGATAAATTTGACGTAAAAATAAAACAACTTTTCAAGTGTTTCCGAATGCACATCTTTGAATGACTTGATAACGACTTCCATTAAACGTATGATTTTGCTAGAGCAGAACGCACACTTTTGTATTGTTTTCTGACCTAGGGTCTACCAAAACCAGCCAAAAATCTCAGATAGAACTTTGTAAAAATTCTAAGGTAACAAATTATGTAGAGAAATGACACAGGCAGTTATAATAATAATAATAATGATAATAATGATAATAATCATAATAATCATAATAATCATAATAATAATCATAATAATCATAATAATCATAATAATAATCATAATGATAATCATAATAATAATCATAATAATAATAATAATAATAATAATAATAATAATAATAATAATAATAATAATAATAATAATAATAATAATAATAATAATAATAATAATAAGAAGAAGAAGAAGAAGAAGAAGAAGAAGAAGAAGAAGAAGAAGAAGAAGAAAAAGAAGAAGAAGAAGAAGAAGAAGAAGAAGAAGAAGAAGGAGAAGGAGAAGGAGAAGGAGAAGGAGAAGGAGAAGGAGAAGGAGAAGAAGAAGAAGAAGAAGAAGAAGAAGAAGAAGAAGAAGAAGAAGAAGAAGGAGAAGAAGAAGAAGAAGAAGAAGGAGAAGAAGGAGAAGAAGGAGAAGAAGGAGAAGAAGAAGAAGAAGAAGGAGGAGAAGAAGGAGGAGGAGTATTTATATGCTTTAATATTTAATTTTGCATTGTGTGTATTTGTTTATTTCTTTTATCTATACTACTAAAAGAGACCTAATATTATTCATTCATTTATTTATACTTTTTAGAAGGGTTGTTAGCAATCCCAGTTGCCTACTAACCAAGGAGTTTAGAACTACTTTTAATCTCCTTACTACTAACTGACTTGAACCGGTAGGGGCCTATTGTACGATTATGGATAATAACTTATCCTTATTCAAGGTACATAATCAGTTCCTCTCAAATTGTTTTTCTTACACGATTATCTCCCGTTAACAGCATTCTATTATGTAAAGCACCTAGAGCAGGGTTCACCCGGGAGTGGGCGATGTATAAATGATCTACATTATTATTATTATTATTATTATTATTATTATTATTATGATGATGATGATGTTACCCCTACAATCTAAACTAGACATTGTATAATTTTCTTAAAGGTTAGCGTAGATACAACAATATGGGATTTGATTCGTTGTCAAAGACTTTCAAAGTAAAACGGGAAAAGTAAATTGTATACCGTTTGGGTAACTTCAGTCCTTCTGGAATTTGTTGAAGAGCAGTTTCAACCCTCAACACAAAGACACATCAGAAAACCTACACGGTGTGTCCTGTTTTGAAATTGAGAGCAATGTACTCTATTGTGATGCCTATTTTATCATTTCAACAAGAATTCCGATATTTTGTTCATATACGTTATCTCGGACACACGGCCCTGACCCACAAATACCTCCTACAGGGAGAGGAGAAGCCGTTCTGTGTCGGATGCGACACAGATTTTACCAATAGACACATTTTAACAGAATGTCTAGACTTTGGAGAGATCCGAAGGAAATATTATAAATGCAAGAAATTGCAGGATATTTTCTCCGTCGTTGTTCCCAGCAGATTTTAAAATTTTATAAAGGCCATTGGCCTTTAAGGCGAGTTGTAGAGTGAATTTGATATTATTAAAAATGTTTATTGTTACTTAAAAGTTGTTTTAGATCACAAATGTATTTACACCAAATTTGAATATTTTAACTTTTTAGCATTTTAAAGTAAATTAGTTAGCCAGTCGTGAAGTGAACTTTCGCAGAGGTGAACAACTTGTGTTTCGCGCGCTCATATGACCTTAGCAGTTGCGAGCGCCGTAAAACCTTATACTATACATACATACATAGAAGCCCATTGACATCATAGCGGCCATTTGATTAATTATGGGGAAAAGCATGGTAGACAGACAGAACAAAGAAGCAAACAAGGAGAAGGATAAGGAGAAGAAGGAGAAGGAGAAGGAGAAAGAGAAGGAGAATCACTCCAGTCTACTTCGAACTCTCCGTCGAAGATGCAGAATGACCTCCCAAACGACAATTTGGGCACCAAGGAACTGACGTGCAGCTCTCCTCTGAATGTCCCTCTTGCCATAGTGAGGTCACACCAAAATGTGAAGACAGTCAAGTACGGTGTCTCCTAAATGCTTCATGTCTAGGATATTGTTTACGCCCCCATCGATAGAATTTACTTCAATTCGTCCGCAGGCGTCGACCTTCCGGGCTAACCTACGCTGAGAGGGATACAACATGCTAGCAGAAAGAGCGAGATACTCAACATAAATTCTCACCACACGAGAATCTAGCACGGTCTCATCTCATCTGACTATGAAACGACAAACAAAATACGAACTATCCCATCGACTTTGCAATCACTTATTACTTTTTCTGTGCTGCCGCCGTTCAGTTCACTGCCCTTGATGACACCCTTGTGTGTGTTTCGACTCTGATGAGCCTTAACACATACAGGGACGCCACCAAAAGAGTTATATATCTCTGCAGTGCCTTCTTCTTCTTCGACTGTCCATAAGTATCGATGATGTCAAAAACAGTATGCACGATTCAGCTTTGCCTTGGGAAAGGTGGAAAGTGTTTGTTCATGGCCTACATCCTGATCCAGGGTAAGAAATGCAATGATGACCTTGACTGGACCCTCGGTGTACTGATCAACAAGAAAAAGAAAAGAGAACGAGAGACAACGGAGAAAAGATGTCACTTTTGTTGGTTCTGCACCAGATTGACATACGAGTGGCAACTAGTCTGCAAGGACGTTGCACTATGTTGGTGAGACGCTGGACCTTACATTTTCTATCAGTAAAATCACAGCCCGAACAGTGTTAAAGAAATAAAAAAGGAAAACAGAGCGGAAAAAATAAAACACACACGCCAAAGTGAATATATCATACATGAGAATGTCTTAGTAAATGCTTTCGTGATAGTAAAAGTAATATTATTAGGAGATTTTTACACTCCCTTTTACATAGTTTAGATAATTTAAGAGATGGACTATTTCGACCCTGCTTGACAGGCCAGCCAAGGCTGATATGGGTAAATGGGTAAACATCTCCATGGACAGAAAATAAACGAACAAAGAACAGAGGCTTCAAGGAAAGACAATAATTTAATCTAGTCCTTCCAGGACTCTGCCTTATCTCGTGATCACTAGAGGGCGTATCCGTCTTGGGTCGCTTACATTGTATACCCATATTGACAGGCTCTTGTCCATATCTCACGCGTTGCTTCTGGATCTCATGTAAACAGGCTTGCACGGTGTACTCACTTCAAATACACACGTAGCCATAATCATAACGCGTCGCTGTTAACCATGGCTGGTTAAACAATATTGACACAACACACACAGGAACAATTAATGATAATATTATTATAAAACGAAAGCTGTAGATCTATTCCATGACAATGTCACGATTTCGTGTTGGAAAGAAATATTATCATTAGGATCGTGCATGCCAATTTCGTCAAACACATCACCCCTTGATGGTTTCCTGCTTCCTGTTAAAAATAAACAACTTTCTGCCCACTCACATTATTGCAAAAATGGTAGTAAATAACGCATCTAAAATATTGACCAATCAAGTAGATCTAATTCGACACATCATCCGACGGCACACATAACCTTGTATGACTTAACGATCAAATCTATCTTTATTTCCGTTTACTGAATCGAGCATAAACAATTAAAATAATATTATTTGATTGCACATAGCGTCTGTGGTGCAGCGGTTAGAAGCTATGTCGTCGCTAGCAGAAAACGTGAGTTCGATTCCCGAGGGGTAAGCATTTTTGGGTTGTTTCATTAAAAATATTAAATATATCCGTCTGTCTGCTGGTACGTTGTATACCTTTCAGTTTCAGCTCAGGTAAGACCTGAAAATCACCCCCTTAAGCACCCAAATAATGTCGATGATGCCGTAAAACACCTCTGTTACATAATGTACAATTTTGCACTTAAGGGGACATTCTAGAAAACGTCATAAGTTTGTTTCTCCGCCATATTGCCAATACAGGAACGAAAATTCAGCTAAGATCGTGCAAATACATTGTACAGACGAAGATTGTTAAAGTTAAATACGACAATGCACCGATTGTCGAGGGGAAAAGAGGTTGTCTTTGGCAGGGTGCACGTCTCGGACTGCCTAAATGAAAAAAACCCTCAATGGATTAAAGGGGAATGGAAAGTGTAAAAGTGTTTGTATTGGACAAGTGTAAATTTACAGTCTACAAGGTCACGCAAGCTTCGGAAATCATCACATTTTAACAGGCAATAATTCTCCCTGATTTATCTTCTGACACCAGGTAACCCTTATCTCCTTCTAATGCAAACTAATTATCTCGACTCCTGTTTCAGAAAAATGGGCAGTCTTTTTTCATCAGGCAGTACTCCACATTTTATGCCCAACGTTTGACGAGCCCTTGATTCCGCCGTGTCGTGACACATCTAAATAAGTGGGGTTTTTTTAATAGGGTGGCTGTTCCGACCTCCCCCCTCCTTTTTTTTTTGGTAAGTGTTTTACAACGCTTGCAACTACATACGGTCATATGAGCATGCAGGACACATACAACACTTTCAGTCGATAGGAAATTTTGAATTTTGCCAGGGTGGCGGCCGAAGCCTACTCTATAAATCGATTTTGGACCACCAAAGCATCTTTAACGTGCGCACCTTGCACATGGGACCTACTTATCCGAGAAGGCTAGATGTAGATCTTTTCTACCATAAAATCAGGGTTGTGACTGAAAGACATCAGTAAGAAGTAGCCAAGGAGTTGCAGTAGAAAGCTATCTGGATTCGAACCCCGGACCTATTGA